GGGGGGGGGGGGGCTAATTTCTTCTTAGTTGCTTAAGGCTTCAGTTGGAATTTATTTATTTTTCTTTGTTCGGGTAGGGTTAAGGTCTGGTTGTTGTTCGGATTTAGAATTCCATCAAATTAAGATGTTAATTAATTTTTTATCCTTTTTAAGGGCAAGGGCTGGGAGTTGGCAAATTTTTACTTAAAGTGGGACCCAAAATCCACGTGGCAAAGTTTTAAAGGAGTCTCATATAAGTTGTGTCAGTCACATAATAGGTGAGTCTAGTACAAAATAAAATTTCTGGTAAATGCATTGCATGCTTAATAAACTGCAATTAAAAGTAACTTTTAAAAACGTCATTATTTCCTTGTACTTATTTTTTGACATTTTTAATTTGTAATAAAGCTTCATCATTTCCTTATATGGTGACATTAATTCTACAGTAAATCTTATTAATAAGTTTCTAAATTTTTAATTCAATATCTTAGGGTACAATTAATTTATGGTTCTGCGACAGTACCTTTTATTTATCACCATAAAATTATCTTCCTGGTTAAAGAGTTTCAATTAATTGTTAAGAACCACATTATTTTCTTGTATTCATTATTTGATATTTTTAATTGCAAAATATTTCATTACTCCATTTGATTGCAGTGTGTTAAATACAGCTTTGTGAGTTGGTGCCACAGGGGTGGCAAAACTAACCCAAACTCATTTAACCCGTCCAAGTTTTAATGGATTTAAGCTAGGATTTTGAAAATGAGCTGTTTTGGGTTAGCCTAAGTTAACCCATCATGAATCATGATGATGAAATGAACACATGATGATGTCCAACATTGACTCATGGAAATGCTCAATCTTAGAGTTTTACCTTGGTTCATGTTCTCAAAAATATTTTCTAATTTTTTCATATTTTGTTGCTTTAAATGTTTGAAAAATATTTTCTTTATGAACTCATTTTTCTCCAATTACAGGAAAATATTTTCCCTATCAAGANCCACCACCCAACCCCACCCCGACCACCCACCATAAATATATAAAAATATTATTTAGAATACTTTTTTTTCATAATTTAGAAAAAATATTTTCTTTCATTTCAACAAAGTGAGTACTTTCTTTTCATGACATAGAAAAAGTATTTTCTTTCATTTCAACAAAATGAATATTTTATTTTCACGATGTCGAATGATTTATTTAATTAACTGTTGTTGACAATAATCATCAAATATGAAAAAAAATCTAAAAATAAAGAAGAAATACATTATCACTACAGAAAAAATAATAAATTAAATTTATATCAATAAAATAAAGGACGGATACTGAGCTATTTTTTTAGATATCGAAATAAAATAAAGTACTCATTTTATTGAAATGAAAGAAAATACTTTTTCTACTACATGAAAAAAAATATTTTTTTTATTGATAAAAGCAAAAAAATCTACAACCGGAAAAGAAAGTACCCATTTTATAAAAAAAAAAATACTTTTATTACATCATGAAAAGAAAGTACTTTATTTGTTGAAACAAAAGAAAATACTTTTTCTACAACATGAAAAGAAAGTACTCATTTTGTGAAAAGGAAAATATTTTTTATACATCATGAAAAGAAAGTACTTTATTTGTTGAAACAAAAGAAAATACTTTTTCTACAACATGAAAAGAAAGTACTCATTTTGTGAAAAGGAAAATATTTTTTATACATCATGAAAAGAAAGTACTTATTTATTAAAATAAAAAAAAATACTTTTTCTACATCATAAAAAGAAAATATTCATTTTGTTGAAATGAAAAAAAAAATACTCTATCTACAACATTAAAAGAAAATACGTTTTTACAACAGGAAAAGAAAGTATAATTTTGCGGAAAAAAATATTTTTTTCTACATCATGAAAAGAAAGTACTCTTTTTGTTGAAACAAAATAAAATACTTTTTCTACAACATAAAAAAAAAATACATATTTTGTGAAAAAAAAAATACTTTTTCTACATCATGAAAAAGAAAAATACTCTATCACCAACATTTAAAAAAGTACTCTAAATAATATTTCTATTTAGGGTGGGTGGAGATTCGGGAAGTAGGGTGAGGGGTTGTGGTGGTGGGACGGGGGTTGGCGTGGGGGGGAAGTTGTAATTTTACTATTTTTTTATTATTCTGATCTTTGTTAGTATTATAAGATGAAGAATTATCAAATACAATTCTAAATCCAAATTGAGGAAAGAAATTATTTTGCATGAGTTGACATAAACACCATTTGAGTTACAACCCATTAGTTTAGCCCTGCTTGACTCAGCCCATCTTAACCCAAGTGAACTTTGGATAGGGTTGACAATAACCCATTTAATGAGTCAGTCCATCTTGACCAAACCAAAACAACTCATTTGCCACCTCTACAATGCCACATTTGATTTCAATAAGTGTAAATGAATTATGAAAGCGGATGTGTTTTAACTTCCATAAATAGAAACTAAAGCTTTTTTTTTCCTTTGGATTGAGATCTCCAATACATAAGAATTGTCAGAGGAGAATTGAACATCATCATCCAAAGCACCAAATTTAGGAGTCATTTTATTTCCTCAATTCAAGATTGAGAAATGCCTCACAATTACGGAAATAAGTTATCACATGATTAATTATCCTGGGATTAGTTATCCCACCCTTCTATAGGGATAGAAAAACATTACAATCCCGGAATTAGTTATATCACAATTTTATCCCAATCAAATATGAGATAAACTCATCTCAAATTTAATCTCGAAATTAATTATCACTTATCCCTCATACCAAACAAGCTAAAAGTTGTGACAGAGTGCTAAGTATTCTCCCATCGTTAGTTAATCAGCTATTTAGAATTCAAACACTGAATATGAAGTCACTCTTGATGGAGAGCGGCTTCACCCCCAAATTTTTCGTTGCAAATCCGGATTAGTCGAGCCTCAAATAAATAATGACACGAAGTTGAAAATCATCAAAGAGAGAAAAATGCTTCAAAAACTATCTAAAAACTTGTTCAAATTATAATGTGAGGAACCTCCTCTCACGGCTTCCATAGCCAAATCTCCATATTTCTTCACATTCCTTCTTATTTCATTCCCTTTCTCTCCATTCCCCATTAAAATTTCCAAACACCTTTTTAACTCTTCTCTTTTGACAATTCCTTCTTCTGCTCTAGCTCTCACACCTGTTCCCCAAACTTCCTCCACCATCTTGATGTTTGTCACTTGGTCAGAGAACTGTGGATACCCAATCAGCGGCACGCCCAAAGCTATTCTTTCGAATTCCATCCACAATGACTCACGAAACATCCGATTGACTTATGAAAAAATATCTGTTGAAAAGATATCATTAATTAAGTTAATAACCGAATACGTTCACACCTAACAATTTAAATTTTTAGATAAAATAACCATATGATTTATCTATTAATCCCTCTGTCCCATGTGACACTTTTTGTTTTTCAAGATTCGAACTTTTTAATTTTGACTGTGCATTTAGACATAGAATCTTTTAGTTTTTCAAAATAAAGTTTACATATTTAAAAATTACGTAAAAAGTAGTATAAGTCACATTAATTAAAATTTTAAAATAGTTAAAAGGTATATGAAAAACTATGGTAAAAAATAATTCGTTTGACTCTCGAAAATCAAATATTGTCTCATAAATTAGGACGAACGGAGTATAATAATAAAGCTACAAATATTTTGTATCACGTTAAAGTAATTAAACTTAATCCATTATAATAGTAAAAGTTGCGAAATACTTATTTACCCGTTAAAATAATTGAATATACCCACAATAATAGTAAAGTCATTAAACTTTATTCACTATGTAAAATGCAGCTAGATGTCTTAAAAGGTGGTCAATTGACCATTCTTCGTCGAAAAATTACACATCATATATAGGCAAAATATTATGTTTTAAAGGTGTATAACATATAATGAACACGAGAAATTTTTTCACTTATTTCAAGTTTGAACACACTAATTTCGCCATGCTTTAATGTGACAAAAAATAATTTTATGATAAAATTTAGTACCTCCATTTGTGAACACCAAGGGACAATCATCCCTTTTCCATTCAAGCCATAATTTTCATTCTTGATCTTATCATCTTCATTGCTTGATCTAATTACCCATAAAAATGGCCTTTCACTTTCCAATAAACCCTTCAAAATCTCTTCCTTTTGCTCCTCTTTTAACACAGCTAAACTCCCAAATGATACATAAACAACTGAACCCTCAGCTTTTAAGTCCAACCACTGTGAATAATTTTCAGATTTATCAAACAGTTCGCATCCAAAAGACTTGTCATTAACATCATTTCCATCGCAAAAAGCTGAAGGAATCAAAGGACCAATTGAACATACCCCAATTTTCTCCAAAATCTTCAGTGATTTCTCTTCTAACGCGTCAAACGTGTTGATTAAAACACGAGGATTTGAATCACTTTCGAGAATTTTTATGTGTTCTCTCATTACAGGGATCATAAAAGAAGAAGCCGAATCACTCTGTAACAGGAACGTAGGAATATCATCACGAGAAATTAGTGGCAATTCCGGTAATTTTATTGGAAATGAGGGCTCAATTTCAGTAGTCGAGCTGTAAATCCCGTTATTGGTAGTAAACAAATTGTAATAAATGGCAAACGCAGTAGCACATTGAATGGCCAGAAATGCAGATTGCGCGTGATATTCACGCGCCACTTCGGCAACCCAAGTGAAGAGAATTGTGTACACTAAGCAAGTAACTGGATAGCCGTCGTCGGTAAATTTGTGAAGAAGGTTTTTGAGGTTTTCCGATCCCACGCGCTTGAAATCGTTTAAATAGTCACCGAAGTACATTTCTTTGGGCCTGCCGTCGTCGTGGCCGTCAGAGATGGAGGCGTAGAATAGTCCGTCGATGGACGGTAGGTTGTTCATTTTGCGGAAGCCGTGGACGGATGTGACGAAGGTGCAACGTGCACCGGCGCGTGCGAGTATTTTGGCGAGCTGGAGAGTGGGATTTATGTGACCTTGTGCTGGTAAAGAGATGATAAGGAAATGGTGTTTCTTCATTGTTTTGACCAATGTTTTGAGAAAACAATCACGGCACTATAGATTTTTTATGGAAGATGACTTTTAAAATATCTTATTATACAATCTATCTTATTATACAGTATGAATATATTCGTTGCATACTTAATATTCTCCCTGGTCCAGTGATTTTTTAGCCCGTTTAACTTTAATTAGTAATGAAATTGATTATATTAACTTTTACTATCTATTCACATAAACACTTCTAACACATATTCCAACACTATTTACTCCAAGGACAATGTAGGAAAAAAAATAATTAATTCATTCTTGAAATCTGAAAAAATCACTTATTTTGGACCACAAAAAAAAAAGACAAAAAAATCACTTATTGTGAACCGGAGGAGGTATCGTTTCGTAGTAATGCACCAACTATATAAAGAATAAAATTATATTATTACCAAAAAAATAAAATATCGGATAAAATTATTATTATATAAAAAGGCAAGACGAAAAATTAAATAAGATTATTTAATAATAGAAAATGATAAGATGATAGAAAAAAATAAAATAATGAGTTTTTGGACCCAAATATAGAAAGTATCAGCTAAACTCAATTGTAAGTCAAAATTAACCACTTAACTCGCCCATTTACTGATTCAGCTCGACGTGTGGGTAAAATACAAAATTGGCTGGTTGGCCAAAACTAATGACATCCGCCAATCAAAATTTACTGATTCAACTCAACCTACCCATTTAACACCCCTTAAAATTGTGGGTAAAGTACAAAATCATTTAAACATTATCACATGCCCGATGCTTAGAAAAATATCATCACACGAAAGATTGTCAAATCTCTCCATTAGAAAAAAGACTAATTGAAAGGTATATATTGAACCCAAATTTGATTATAAAATCAGTCAAATAGAGTGAGCGCATTGGCCAGCTCTGATACTTGAGTAACATGAAATAAAGGAAGCAAATGTCCATGTATGTATACCCGATACCTTAAAATATAAATTAAGCCCAAAATAAGCAATGTCTTCAAAGACTTCCTGACCTACAAGCCTTGATCCAATCAACTACAACTACGAATCAATACAAAAGCAGACACAAACTATTTGCCTCGTAATGACTAGCAAAAAAAGAAGTTCCCGACATAAATTATCTTCTAACTCAACAGCCTGAGGGAGCACACATGACATTCCACTTAAAACATAACCCCCTTCTCATATAATTAAAGACAACAAAAAAGTCGCATTACCCTTTATTTTTAAAGGAAGCAAAAGTACCCCCCTNTACCCGTTATTTTTAAAGGAAGCAAAAGTACCTCCCAATACCTGAAAGAATGTCATATGTAGTCCTAGTTTCCAAATAATATCTTGGTCTGACCTCTCATCTTATGGATGATGAAAAGAAAATCATGAACTTTCGATGAGAAGCTGGCAGGGTAGATGAGGCGAACTCAATAAGATCTTCACATAATCGGAACAAGCATTAACAGCCATCTTTCTTCTCTTATCAAGAAGATTGCACTGCCAGCCGCTGAAGATGCTCAAAGAACACTTGAAGACTCACATCGTCTGTAAAGATCACGTCTGATCCAGCTGCCATATCATTTGCATTATTGTACGTAGCAGATGGATTCAATTTTGCCAAAAGGAATCTTGCCTGTCCAGCATGAGTGAAAAGATGTCACATTTACATTCCAATTAAAACAAAATGAGCCAGTAACCACAAGAAGACAAATGTAAATTTTCAGCTTTTTAGGTACAGCCTCCTGTCCGATTCTTTCTCAGGAAATGGTACCTCATACCAGAAGAATATAGAGTAAGAATCACTTCAAAAGATTGTTTAAAAATAGGGATTCCAAAAAGCAAATAAGACTATGCAGAAAAAACCTCATATTCATGCTACTTCATCACTTGGTGATATGATGGAAGTTACTGGTCCTTGCATTTCCTAATTAGGAACTTAAAGTAGATCCTACTCCTTAACAGGCAAGTGGGCATTTATACATCGCACAAGGCAGCAAAAATTAAATTGAAAAATGCATTCATTACCTGGGAGCCATGTTGATCACACACCACCAGTCTTGGAACAGGAAACCTCTCACGGATGATTGCTTGGGCCTCATCATGTGGAACTTGCAACAGCTGTGCAAATGCCTGAAAAGAGGAGAAAGGGGGAAAGAATACATATCTTTGTTTCACAAACACATTATGAAACTGCATCATGCTAGTTTAGCACAAATTATGCATGCTTGAGGAATGAAGAAGAGATGTCCTAGTTTTCCTCATTTAATGTGAGAAGGCTAAAGCACAGGATCTCATCATGAAGCACCGGCAGATTGAAGTTGAAGCTACCACAAATAAGACAAAAAAAATAATAACACTGGATGACAGAAAACGTGAGGCCTACCTGGTGCTCAGGCTGGTTTTGGTATCCCATGTTTCTCCATTGAGCTATTGTCATTCCATGGAAAATAACTACACTAAAATAAGCATCCAACAAGAGAATGCGATCAGCTGCAATGGATGCCACATCCAGCAAGGCTGGGGCAGGCAGTGAATTGAATTGAAATGCCGTTAGTGTTGGCTGAATCATGACAGCAGCATTGCTTATGCCCTCTCGGTTGAGCAACATGCGGAAATATGCTGTCTCATCTGGACTATTATTGAACACCTGTGCCACTCATACATTAGTAAGAATTAAGAACTTGTACATCCATGATATCAATTTGTTAAGTTAGTGACAGAGAAAAGAAAGAACATCCAGAGGTATATTACTTGTAAGAACTGGGATCGCCGTAAATGAAACATGAATTGAGGGAACAATGAAAAAGAAGGATTCAAAGTGAAAGAGGTGGGGTCATCCTTCCGATAGTCACCAAACTTGGCGCAGAGACGAATGAGATTCCGATCTAGCCACCTTGTGGCATCAAAATCTTCCTGAAATCAGTTAGCCAAATTTATCAATAAAACAGAAAGGAGAAGAGGGATATTATGAAGTTCAGGTATGCTATGGTAAACAGATGCTTCAATGCCTGCAATGGAGGAAAACTGAATCCAGTATGTTCAGTGCAGAGAAACTTTAGAACCCGTATATTGGCAAATCCTAAAGAATTTGCATACTTCACCACAATTCATGTTTTTAAGGATAAATTCTTCACTACTTCAAGCATACTCAACTAACCTTGTTGCTTTGCCATTTACCAAAGAATAGCAAGACTACCATAAGGAATTGAGAAGGCCAACAAATAAAATAATGAAACCAAGTAGGCATTCACATATATGCTGTTACTCTATTACTGTAAAACTATGTGCAGAACAAATGATATAGTCTAGAGAAGATACCTCCATCTCCATTTTGTAAGAAGCTAATCTAGCCATTACAACCGCAGCAGCCTCTTGATCAAATCCTTGCACCAATTCCTGAGAAAATAGATTTATTGCAGTGTCAAGATTAACAAACACTCGTATGGTCCCCTCAAAATCCAAACAAAAAATTCCTCAACTTGAAGCAAGAGCAAAACCCAAAAGGGAAATTCTCCTTATCGAGATACCCTTTGCAGGAAGCCCTTCTCAGAGGACTTTGAGAGGAATACAGAGAATCTATCAAAATAACAATTTCCAGTTATATCTGCATGGAAATATTGACAAGAGTGGGTTGCTCTAGTAGTGAGCACCCTCCACTTCCAACTAAGAGGTTGTGAGTTCGAGTCACCCCACTAGTGGGATTATACTGGGTGGTTGTTGTATCTACATGAAAATATTATTAAACTATAGACAAGCTCATCCTCAATAGTTGTTGGAAAAAAGAGTTCGATGGAGAAAATATTTTATTGGACTTACAACTGAATTTGAAATTGTTGGGTGATCGACTCATCAAAGTTATAGAAATGCCAATCATTTAGGATGTCTTAAATAGAAAATTAACTCGCATGAAATAGAATGAATAATGTGGTCCTGTTTCACATGTTTATAATACATTATATTCCCTTTTCAATCTCTAACTCTTTAATTTTTCTTTCCTTTTTCCTTGTTTGTGGGGCCAGGGGAATTGAGGGTAATCAGTCTCTTTAAATGCAATCTCAAGTAAACAAAAAGAGCTGCCTCACAAAGCACTACTCACAAGTAACATTACTCTCTATTCTTGGGCACAAGTAACATTACTCTCTATTCTTGGGGAAAAATATATTGGGGTTTGGAGCGATACAGAAGAGAACCGTAATGGAAGTTATTGTCTAAAAAATGATATTTCTAGCTCAAACTTTCAGTCGCACACCTCAGTGCTAACAGCAGCATCAACCCATCTTCTAGTAATGGTCGTGACGCGTAATTTTGTTTGACCATCATGGCTCTGATAACTGCATTTACATCAAAACCAACAATAGTTACATGGTAACTCTTCTGCCCTACTATATAGACTTGTTCAAGAGGAGAAACAGTGTATATAAAGTACACATCTCCTATCCATCAAATAATAACAAAATCTCAGCAATAATAATTTCTTTTTATACTAAATGATAAGAAAGAAATAGAGGCGAATGTTCCTTGTGATCCAAGTACCTCGTGAGAAACTGTATGTACAATTGTGGATTTTGATTGCCTGAAGGGTCTGATTTCTCACTAGATGAAACATCAAAGAAAACAGTCAAGCAAGTGTTTTTGTCGAGACCGCACAGCTTCCAAGCAGTAGTATTCCCCTCACCAATAACCGTGCTGGAAACAGCAGGTCCTTTCTGCATAGCACCAAATTATCAATATCAACTGTCAAAACTGTAACTGGAAAAGTTAACTTTTTTTTTTGCAGGAGAACAAGCTTTCAGAATACATCTTAACTGTGTAACATTAGGTAATAACTCACTACTGATAATATGCAAAAGTTTATTGAACTAACCTTTTCTAAAGATGTGCATGGTCCAATTATCCCCTGAATTTTAATATCCTTAGAGCAGTTGATCTCTAATGTACCACTGAAACAATTTAATGCATCATATTCAGTGACAAAATCATTGAATTAAAATATAAAATGAATCTATCACAGTAGAGAGAGAGTCCTACACAATATTTATGCTGCTCAAAAGTACAAATAATATGAATTAAAATACATTCTTCTGTAAGAGTACAATTCATGGGAATCACTTGCATAATGAAAGTTCCCCAACTTACCAAGGTATATCTCCTTTTTGTGTTGGGGAGAAAAGAGCGCTCCAGGGTTTAGTATTTTATCATAGTGGAGAATGCAATAAGAGAAAGGAAGCCAACTATAAATAGAACACACCAGAAGACATGCACCAAAACTTCCTCTCTAAGGTATAACCACTCTTTCAAGTCCCTTAAGGTTTTATCTTTTAAATAACCGTAACTTACGCGTACTTCGACTAATTCCATAGTCGAGGGGGTACCTGCTATCTCCTACTAGCACAAGTACCAGAGTTACCTGTCCACCAAGGATCGAATAGATTAGAAGAATCGCCTAGCATTTTACCTCCCCTGGAATTTAACATGAGACCTCATGGTTCTCAATCCACTTTATTGATCACTTGGCCACATCCTTGGGTACATCAAGTTCCTTAAGACCCAACTAAATCAATTAACTATAGTGTGAGGATTTCAACTGGTTATTTTCAAGTTGATCGCCGAATTTACTTGGAACAACATATTTACAGGTAAGAAAGTTGGACATATAGCTTCAAGTTGACAATTAAGTAACTCCTCGTCAGTTACTATCAATTTCTTCATTGAATTCATTTGCTATGCACTGCATCTATCACAAGGCAAGGCAGATTCTTTTTTATTCACATATGCTGAGTACTTTAACCCATGCTCTTCCTTTATCTATGTAAACCCCCCCCCCCCTCGCTGGTGTACAGCTTGGACCCAAAAAACAACCTTCAAATAAATATATCTTATATTATAGATAATTTCAGCTTTAGGGCCTCTAGAAGTATGATAGTCCCGTCCATAATGTTGGAAATCTTTCCACGGTCAAAACAGCCTTATTGAAAACATAGCAAAAATAGCGTCCTTTGCAAATGAGACAAAATAGAATAACATCTCAGGAAGCTCACTTGAAGGACAGCCCAAGAGACTGTTCACCATCTTCGAAGATGTGCTTGAATGAATCTTTGAAGACAGAATGGCCAAAACTTTCAGCTAGAACAACTAGTCCTCCAGTTTTTTCAATAGCTACTTTCATCTCAGCAACTCCAACCTGAAACACAAAATTGTTATTGCAAAACTAAACATGACATCATCTACTGCCAATTCACGAGCAGCATTAATCAGTCTCAGTTAACCTCTCAAGTTACGTGCATAACACACCAATAAGGACACAAAATAAATATACACATGATACAACTTAATACGCTCAGCGCCCAATATGTTGCACCACGTATATGATGCTCAAATGTTGGTTTCCTTGTTCAATCAGTTAATAAAAAAATACACATGTAGTAGCTTTTAAGAACCCAGCATAACTGTAAATGAATGTCAGGATCAAATGCATGATTAGTAACTAGAGAAATGCCAGCACCTTCACTTATAAGATTCTATGACACATAACACGTGTCACCATGACAAAGCTAACACAGAGACAAACCTGATCAAGTGCTGAAGCAAACACATCCAAGACGTGACCTTGATTAACAAGCTGCTTTGCAAGTTCCTCATAGAAATTGACTGCCTTTTTGAAAAAGGGTGCTGCATCCTTGTGCAGATCCTTATGAGAACGAACTGGTTCTGAAAGATCTTTTGACACAATCTGCAAAAACGAGGAGATAAGTCAAAGAATAGGAAAAGGCATTGAAATTCATCAGTAATAAGGATTCAATTTAGCCAGGTGACAAATGGCAATAGAGACAAAAAAAAATTGTTTTTTCTCCATTAAGGATCGAATTAAGTGCCATTCTCGTAAAGATGCAGGTCTCTAATCGGACTCAAATAAATTTCAAGATTATGACTTTTAGCCTAAAAAATTAGGCAAAAGACAGGGTGACTGCATCTTTTCATGAGCCTTAGGAGAACACTTAAGTGGCAGTCAGTCAGGACACTTGTTTTGGTTCTAACTGTCTCCATACACCAGCAATCGCTTGAGGCTGGTTTTCATTTATAAAATTACCTTACTTTTTGATAAGGTTAAAATTATCTTACTTATCAAAAAGAACAAAGATAACCTTTTTCTTCTTTGGGTTGGGGAGAGGGTAATGCGGGAGTCTGGTGATATGACAAGCACAAAACAGAGTGAAAACAGATTCAAAGGCTCACCGCTCCAGGTCCCTCTGTGCATGGTCCGCCCACTAAGGCCACGATCCGAGCACCAGCACCAGCCAAACAAGCTCCAAGCAATCCAGCA